CAGGTGTTGAGGGAAATGACAAATCTCTCTTTCTTGCTTTATTTTCTGAATGAAATAAAGAATGGGTACAGATATAAAATAGAGATGAAAGTAACAGCCTTACTGTTGGTCTTCGTAAATATTTGGTTCCGTCGTAAAGTGGTACTCTGGTAAACTGTATGGTACAGTGAGGCTTCTACCTAAAACCCAGGTGGCCTCTTAATGACTTTGGAACAGATCTGTGGGCAAGGCCAACTTTTCAGGGCTTAACCAATCTCTAAAAGCCTGGGAGAGAGAGAGAATTTTGTTCTTTCTTTTTTCAGGATGGGGAGAGCTTACCCAGGTGTGCCTAAAAGGTGAAGAAAAATAATGAACTGCCTGTTACTTCTGAGCACAGGCAGGTCAAACTGCTTTATGTCCTTGACCCTAACGACACATGAGCAATGGCCTTTAACACATGAATCCCATCCACTAACTGAGTATGGTTTAATGACTGCCAAGGCTTGCCCCAGTCAGATTAGCTGCTACTCCTTCCTTGGGGAGGAAAATATTCCTTTTTACACTCATGGAAAGGGCATGGAAAAAGTTCTTGATTGTCATCTAACAGATACAACTTGCACATTCGTAAGGTTGTACAGACCACCATGTGTAGATCTTCCAAGTTTATTTGGCTAACAGGGCTCTCCATGCCGCTCTTAATTTTCATGCAGTGCTATTCTAAGAGTGAGGGTTCCAGATATCATTGACCTCAGTTTTATCTCCTTGACATTGTTTGAGCTCAGTCTCCTAGTATTTTTTCTGAAATGACGTTGGGGAACAAGCAGAAGGCAAAACGAACTGACATTCTGTGGTGCTAAATAGGAAATAACTAAGTGAATTTCTATCCTTTATATTGGATACAGGACATCTTTACCTGCCTCTGTTTTCAAACAATTGTATGCAAAAATTTCTAGCTCTTATAATGCTTTCACTGAAGCTTATTCATATAGGACAATAACTTCTCTTAAAAGGGTCTCTCAGCTCAAACTTTTTTTTTTTTATTGCTTTGAAAACCAAATAAATGTATATTATAGGCTCTTAAAGCACTAAGGGAGGACAGATATCTGGTTGATCCATTCATTTGAAAGGATTAGACAGTTGATGCCTGTAGCTTGAAAGTGACTTGTAAGCCCAATGTCCCACGGCTGGTTAGTGGTAGAACAAAGTTGGGAGTGTGGTTTATTTGTCCCTTTTAGTTGGATTTAGTCAAATATTCAAATAAAAGGCTGTGATGAAACCATTACAGTGTAGAGCTATAATATGATAAGATCATACCCAACCATTGGCTTTCATGCCAGTATCATTCTATAAGATTTCTGGCAGGAATTATCCCAGAGGGTGGATGCCCATTTGGCCAGGGCCTCAATTCACAGAAGGCCTGGAATCTAAAATTTAAATGCTTTACCTTAATGTCCTCTGGGTAGCATAAGGATATCGCCTAATATTTTTAGGTTAAAAGTATTAATATGTTAATATATAAAATATTTTTTAAAACCTCTGTTTGGGCATTTTTTCAGTTTTTGATATATAAGGTATGTCATAAATGGACATTGCTGGAGTCTCTCCAGAGTCCTGAGTGGTCTTGTCCATGGCCGTGGGCCACACAGCCTGGAACATGCTGCTCCGTCTCTGTCATTTGATAGCTCTCACTGTCAGAAATTCCAGCTGTCTGAATCCCAGCCTCTGAATCATAACAGGCTTTCAGAATCACTCAGGACTCCAGAATAACTGAACAAATCTAGAAATCATTACCTTGTTGGTAAAACAGAAGAAACAGAAATGGCAGAGAAGAGCACAGGTTGTGAGGATGAGAGAAGATTCTCTGGATGGTGTGCAGATTGGCTGTCGATATTTTTAAAGGACCTGTGAAACCCGAGAAGCATTCAAGGACGGGGATGAGGCACAAGCTACCGAGAAAAGAAAAGCAGAGGAGAAAAAGGAAGAGAGTGGGCGAGAAGTGGAGAAAGAGAACCACTGAGAGGGATAGCAGAGTGGGCTTTCTGAGGAGAGAAAACCCAGAACCCCAGAAAATTCATCATTTATACCCCAGGGTTCTGGGAAGGAATATCCTGTCCTTACATTGGGATTTGTGGATGGGGGAGGCGAGCAGGTACTGGAGGAGGAGTTCATCTGAACTTAAATCTCCAAGGTCAATCAAAAGCCATGGCAGGGGTTTCCCTGGTGGCGCAGTGGTTGGGAGTCTGCCTGCAGATGTAGGGGACACGGGTTCGTGCTCTGGTCCGGGAAGATCCCACATGTCGTGGAGCGGCTGGGCCCGTGAGCCATGGCCACTGAGCCTGCGCATCCGGAGCCTGTGCTCCGCAACGAGAGAGGCCACAGCAGTGAGAGGCCCGCGTACCGCAAAAAAACAAAAACAAAACAAACCATGGCAGCCATCCCAATTCAGCACTTTATACAAGATAAACTTGACTGAAGTGTTGTAAGTTGTGTTTTGATACCATTGTAATCTATCAGGCAGCTAAATTGATTGAAAGAAAAAAGATCCTCTTAAGTTACCTCAGAGAAAAAAAAGCCACGTATGTTAGAGAAAAACGCAGAGTGGAAGTGAGTCTTCATACCCATGAGGCTCAAGGCATCTTTAAAGATGAATGTGTTTCTCCTGCTCTCGCTCCTTTACCTCCCCACTTCCCCTCCTTTTCCCCTCCTCCCTCTCTCTCATCAACTCTAATTTACTCTCTGTTCACCACCAGGTGACTTCATTTTTCTCTTCTCTGTATCATTTCTGGTCCCTCCAAACTTTGGATTACACGTGGCATTATGTCACCATTAACTCACTACTGACTGGCATCATTTCTTGTTGTTTCCCTTTATACATTTTGAAAACGAAGAATCCAAATGGCTTAGCTCACCCTTTCAGAGCTACATAGGCTGTGTCATACGCTAGACTGTGAGTCAGCTGGCCATTCACCTTGGGGCTGAGTTTTGGGCTACTCACCTGGGGGGCAGGGTGAGTATGAATAGGGTCACAGGGGTATGAAATGTAGATGCTTAGGCAAAGGAGACTGTGATTGCGATAAGGAATTATCCAGGAGAGATCCTTTGGCATCTCTGGTGTGGGTTTAAACTCCACAGTGTCTTAAGATAATGGGCACAAATGGAGTAGAACAGAGCTGAGTTGTAGTGCTGTGGAATATAGCGGGTACAACATAGACTCCAGACTTCATTTATAAAAGGCAAGGCCAGACACATAAGAAAGTTGTGTTAGCTGTAAAAGAACAAACAGACGTTTGAAAGGTTGATGAATCACTACAACATTCGTTCATCTCCCTTATACGACATCAAATGTTAGAAAGGCAGCTGTTCACATTTTTGGGTGCCTGGTAAATCATCTCAAGCTGCTGCGGATTCAATGTCATGCATACGACAAAATTAGGCAAGTCAACTGTGTGTTACATGAGTGGCTCATTACGTCTGATGTTCTATTGCATTTGCAGCTGCAGCTGCATCTCAGACACGTAACGTTCACTGATGTTCATAATGGTAACACTGAGTCATTAAGGAAATCTTGTATTATGTCTGGTACAGTAGACTTGAGAAGTAAAGAGGTGCAGTGGAGAAGGAACTAAGACTTCTGTGTACCTGCTGAATTGCAGGAGCAGAGAGAGGTGAGCTGCTTATGCTTCTGCCCTTAAGCAACAGAATTCCTGTGAGGCACACAGTTGTATGCATTTTACAACTGAGAAAACATGTTTAGAGAGGTAAAGTAAATTGTCCAAAGTCGCGTCAGGAATCCAAATTCATTTCATTCCAGAACTTGCGCTCTCCCTTCACGCTACAAATTTGTTCAATTTTTTTTTTAATAAGAAAATTTCAAGTTGCTATTTAAATAAATTACTCTTAGCTAGTCAACATTAGCCAGTCGGTGACTCACTCAAAATATGCACAAAAGAAAGAAGAGATCTAACATTTGGGAATGTGACCATGCATGCTGGTTTATTATCTTGAGTGCAGGGTATTATTACCTCCAAGTTATAAGTTGAGGAAATTGAAGTTCTTTGAGGCAAAGTGACTTGCCCAAGGCTATATATTTAGAAAGCTGTGGCTGTAGTCTCTTTTGCAGGCTTCTCTTGCTCAACCCACTACTTAAATGTTAGTTTTCTTAAGTTTAATTCTGACCTCAGCTCTTTCTCCTTTTTCTCCTGTATACTTTTGCAGTGTAGTTTCAGATGTAGTAAGTCGGAAATTTATAACTTTAGACCCCGTCTCTCTCAAATTCCCTACCTAACTTAGATACTTCCTCCTTCATATCCTGTGGGCTGCTCAGACTCAAAACATGTAATTTGTTATTTTCCATAGTCCCCTATAGGTGCCTCCCACCCTATGTTCTTGCCTCAGTGAATGACCCCAATTTACTAAGCAAGAAATCTTTGTGTCATCCTGCTTGAGTCAGTTACTGCTGACTGCTGACCTCCTGGTATCTTGATATTCATCTCCTTCATCCTTTTCTTTTTTAAATTTGAATTATAGTTAATTTACAATATTATTATTAGTTTCAGATGTGCAACAGTGATTCAGTATTTCCTCCTTCCGCTTCTTATGCCATTTCCTTAGCTTATGCCAGTTCTAAATGGTTGCAGTAGCCTTATTGGTCAGTCTTTCTTAGTGCCCTTAGAGCGGTATTTCATTTGAATAATTTTGATCATGTTGCTTTCTTGCTCACTAGTTCTTCAGTGGCTCCCCATTGCCCAAAGGATAGCCTATATACTTCTTTGCATAGTGCACATAACCCTTCATGACCTGGCCTCTGTATGCCTTTCTAATCTTACCACTGGCCACTCACTCCCACCTTCATGCTGATATAGTAAATTTGAAATACTTATGGTTCTCCAGACATGCCTGATATTGTTGCAGTTTTCTGACCTTTCCTTTGATGTTCCCTTGACCTGCTGGTTCACCTAACTGTTCATCAAGCTCCCTCTCAAATGCTATTTGAATTTTAAGTTTTTCCTTTTTCTTTTCAGGGCTGCTACTACTCTTCATTCACACTTCCAGTACAGCAGGTGTCTTCGTGTGCTATCATTACACATGGACCTTTGCGCCTTCCACTGATAATCTTGAACTGAGATGTGGGCATTCTGCTCTTTGCCGTTGGCATCCTTTCTGATGGATCAGGCATCTGTTCTGACTGGTCAGTGCTCATGCCATACAGTTGTTAAATGGTTTTAATATCAACTTCAGCTTACTACCAAGCAGTGTGTGGCAGAGAGAAGGTGCTCAAAATTACCTGTTGATTCTCAAATTAGGAAAGACTGAACGCCTGAGTTACAGCTGGCTTCACAGCTGCATCTCACCCTCTTATTCTCACTGTGTCTGGTCTCACTGCACTGAGCCAGATGGGTCCCTCCAACATTTCCAGCTGGGCTGGTTCTGTACTTTAGCAAAACAAAGAACAAATATATCTCAGAACAAACTCTCACTTACTTGAAGAAAGCTTGCCTGTCTCACTGAGGCTTCATTCTTAACAAACCAATATCCACACAATATTTATTTCTCAAATAGCTTTAAGACCTCATACTGCCCAGAGATTGTCCTCTAATCATCTAAATTTCCACTGACAGCACAGGAATGAGAACTAAGAATAGTAAATCACTGGAGGATGGAGTAAGATGGTTGGCTCCCGTGAATTTGAAAGGGCATTGGCTGACATTGAAGCAGGCTTGATGTCACTGGCTCCCTTCACAACCATATCACATTGAACTTGTGATCACTTACACTACTGAGTTAGATAATTCTACTCCACTGATTTTTTTTTTTTTTTTTTTTGTGGTACACGGGCCTCTCACTGTTGTGGCCTCTCCCGTTGCGGAGCACAGGCTCCGGATGCGCAGGCTCAGCGGCCATGGCTCATGGGCCCAGCCGCTCCACGGCATGTGGGATCTTCCCGGACCGGGGCACAAACCCGTGTCCCCTGCATCGGCAGGCAGACTCTCAACCACTGTGCCACCCGGGAAGCCCTATTCCACTGATTTTTAAAATGTAAGTGAGGGGCTTTAGTTATGGCCCTGCCCATCATAAAAAAAATTATGCTTCTCATGATCTCATCCTGCATACACCTTTGTTCTCCATCCTGGTTTGGGATTGTCTGCAGTTTGACAAGTGTGCCTTCTCTATCTTTCTTACAAATCACTGATGAAAATACATAAACAGCGGAGTAAGTCACAGAACCCTATGTTACACCACTTTCCTTCCAACTTCAGATTGATTCATTAATCATTGTTTGCATGCAAAATGTTTGGGTATAGATTCCTGACTCATGGGGTGCTTTTTACTTCCCCCATCTCATTCCTCTGCCTTGTCCACAAGATATAATTGGAGACTTAATTAAATGCCTTGCTAAAATTAACGAGTACCATGTCTGCAAGTTCCCTTAATCTATAATTACCTGCTCTTACTAGATATTCGTCATCGTTGTCCTATTGTCATCACCTGTCTTTTGAAGTCAGCTTACATGTGTAAACCTCAGTCTTAGTTGTTAGCTGGGCCCCCATCCTACATCTCAGAGTTCTCTTTAACTTTGATTAACCTCTAATTCTGTGGCCTGGAACGTCCAGTTTCTCTCCGGGCTTTCTCCTGAGGCCCAGAAGGGCTCACTCGTATGACCTTTGCCTCTGTCTCTCTCAGCTGCCTTCATAAACTCAGATGCAGATTGAAGACCTGATTTCATATATAGTCCATTCAGACTGAACCTTCTGAAAGTTGTCAGGTCCCGTAAAGATCTTTGTGCACAGAGGTGGGTCGAATTACTTATTGTGTTGTCTTCTGGCACAGTGCTGGTGTTGGCACTTGCTTCCCACCTTCTTTCTCATAACTGCCCAGGGCTTCCATTTCTTCTGCTTCCACTCTGCCTGGCAATTCATCTCTCTCTGGTTACCACCCATAATGTGGATTGCCAAATATTCTGAAGTCTTTAGTGAACAAAAGCCTTGCTATTTACACTCTCTATGGAGAATGGGTGTTTTATGTGTGTATATATATATAAATAAAATCTTTGTTGCATATCTATTAATTCGTTTAATTTGTGAAGAAAATCTGTGAGGTAGGTATTGGTCACATTTTGCATGACTAGATTCATGACTATATAAGTTGGCTTTTCTCTTGATCCATGAGGCTGAAATTTGAGTCTGGGCTTGTGACTCAGAGACACTATGTAAGCTGTTGAATTAGCCCATCTCTTATCTTGAGTGCAGATTTCTTTTCTTCGTTTATCCTTCCTCCCTTCTTTCCTTCCCTCTTTTCTTCATCTTTTACCCTTTCCTTTTTCACTCTGACTTTCTCCTTTCTCCCCTTTCTCTTCTTCCCTCTCCTCAGTTCCAGGTTGGATATCCAGGAAAGAGGCCCTGGCCTGGGTTTAACCATTACAGGTTAAACCCCCAATTTGGAAATCAGAAGATATGTTCTCTCACTTTTATTTCATATACCTTCCAACAAATTTTGCATGATGGAAAAGTGTTCTTAGTCTCCCCAGATCAGTTTCTCCTTAAAAAAAAATTCAGCCAAGTATTAGTGATGAGGAAAAGAATCTCCTCTATAGTCGGTTAATCCTCTGAATCTCTCACTCCTTCAGGTTTAGTTTTTGACATGAAAAAATGAGGAAATGAAGCAATTTGGAGAATACTTACTCTAGAAAGTTTGCTGCTTTTAAAGACTTTGGCTTCTTGCCTAATCATGTTTTCATGTCAGAAACTGACCATTCTGTAGTTTCTCTCTTTGCAATACATCTAAAACAAATCTTAGCCCCTAGGCAAATGGATGCCTTAGACTAGTAGGGAACAGCAAAAGGAAAAACATTAGTAATATTTAAAATGGTCCACTCAAGTAAAAGATTGAATATATTTATAATTTTTAGTTTTACATTTGATTTGAGAATTTCTTTGGGAAGATGGAGGAAAATAGCAGCTGAGGGGTCAAAGTTTTGATCTAACAAGTGTTAATATTATATTTTCATCTGGTCCACCACCTCCTTGATTGTCTTCTTTTTAAAATCATGTCTTTTATGTTAATATTATTATCCTTAGTAGTTTTCATAAGTCTCAGTTCATTTTGAGCTGTAATCTAAAATTCTTATAAAGTTTCTGATTTTATTTATGTTCCTTCTTTTGTGCTCCTACCTCTTTGTAGTCATATTTTCATAGTGAATTTATTAGAAAGCAGTCAGTGAATTAGGATTATTTTTTTTTAGTTATTTCACTTTTTTTCTCATTAGGATTGTTTTCAATTAAACATCTGTATTTGCAGTTTTAGAAACACTTTATTTATTTTAGAACCTCACATGGTGGGATTCAATTTAATATTTCTTGATGTTTTTTGAAATATTTCATAAATTCTAAAATAAGTGGTTCAGTGTACCAGGCATTCCTTTGTTTTAGTTTGTTTTTTCCCAATTTCAATAGGAGATATTATTCTGAGATTTCTTTCATTGCCACAAAAATATTTCCTTATGGGTCAGAAGTAAATTTATAGTAGACATTTCCCTTCCTGCTGCCTGTACATATCAGTCATTTTTCTGTAAAGTGAAAATTCATTGAATGTGAAACTTTGAAACATCACACAATTCTCTTTGTGTGTTGCGGGCATATTTCATGTCTTAGAATGGAGACTTTTGTTCATTCCCATATTATAAACAATGAAGTATGATTATAACTGGTCTAAAGTAAGAGTTTCCAAGAGACAATTGATTAATAATTTTAGAGAATTGAGAAGAAGGGAGGTTAAATTGATCTTTACTGGGACACAATCCTTTCTTTACCCTGAGAAATGAAGACTTTAGGTAAGGAGGCTGATACTAGTTTTCTTGATATAGTCTTAGTTATGTTAAATGAAATTTTGTTTTAGTTGGCTGTTAGACAAATTTTAGGAAGATTAGAAACTGTATAGAATTATTGGTGCCTCTGTAGAAGCACGGCCTCACATTTATGGTCTGGAAATGTAAAAGGGTGGTAAGTAATTTAAATACTGAAGGACGCAATTTATCAAATGGTAAGTCAGGTGCAAAATAGCCTTGTAAAAAGATGACTCTGTTAAAGGAGGAAGTAAGCCATTTAGTGAAGCCACTATAGGTGCACTCGTGTGCAAGTAGATAATACTACACAAAACAGCCTTACTTGGGTTTAGATGGATTTGTTAGTGGACATGAGTGGGCCCTTAGGAATGGAAGTTTTTGTGTTTATACCGCCTCTGTACATGAGAAGTTGGTACTACCCAATATAACCAAAGTAAAACAGGCCACACACACAAAAAAAATCTTTCATTTTATTTTGCTTTAAAAGAGGAATTCCTGCATCTAGAAAGAGATAGGCGGTTCAACTACTTCAATATATACATTGTTGATATTACTGTGTTGCATTACTATTTTCATATAAATGTCATTCTGAAAAGTTTGACCTCCCTAATATTGATATTGAAATGGCACTATTTCCAGTAATGAAATTAATTCTAATTAAACATTAGTACAAAACCTGGAAGATGAGGAAGTTTTTAGTGCCATGTTGAATCTTATGATTGCAGAATTAACTCAACAACCCTGTTTGGGGATAATACATTCCAAAATGAGATTTAAAGAAACATCACTTTATTCAGAGGGGTTATATCTGCTTCATATGCATTTTTCAGCCGTATTCAGGAAACAGCTGTCAGATAAATTATAAAAATACATGATAAAAAAACCCAACTCATCTTTTTAATTGATTTGAATCTAGCTTTATCTAGGCAGCATAATGCTCTTCACTGATAGTAGGGTGAATAAACTCTGTGCAGTTACTTAGCAATTCACCACGACTTAAAAATATACAGAGCCTTCATCTATGACTAATAAAGTCTAATGTCCAAAGTGTCAAATTATTGGTAGGAGCTTTTGAAGATCAACTGATAATTAGTCATAATGCTTTGTTCAAATATAATTTCAAGAAACAAAGGAGGAGACTTGATTACTGGTAGTAATAGCAGTGACTTATGGGAAATTGCTACTGAATAATTTATTGATTCATAGTGACAAAGTTATTATCCTCTGATGGCTGTTCAAACAGCTAATGTGAAACAATGCAACTGATGCCTCTTAGGAAACCCCTGCCATATTAGCTCTTTCTTAATTGTTGCTTTTATTCCTTGTAGCTGAAATTGGAACACAGATGG